GGAGAGAAACACAAGCTACACGGAAAAGGAAATACTCAAGGAATGGAGATGGGGGCTTTGTGGGAAATGTCGGGAAGTTTTATAATCACAGCAGCAACTTCTTGAATAATGGAATTTAATAACATATAATAAACTATGATCCAGGAGAACTCTGGTTCAATCCCACTAATTGTTCGAGCCAGTGAAATGAAGGCAAAGTTTATGGTGCCAGCACGCTGCGCATGCCTCTGAACACTGCAGGGGACAATTGTTCCCAGCTGCCTACCTCCTCTCACCCAGAAGGCACCCGGGCCCTGTCTTCCAAATCCCTCATTTCTCTTGTGCATCTGAAGATATCTGGGCCTTTAGAGGGAGGGGCGGGAGGCTAGTCCCGAGCTCCCCTGCCCCACTAGAGGCTCCCTGAATGGGTTTCGATGGGAGCCTGGGCCCCATCTTGTCTCCTGCCTTCTGCACCTCACCCGCCCCACCCCACTTCAGGAATCAGGCCCACTGTCCCTCGCCCCAACCCCTGCAGGTGACCAGAATGGACCTGTGGCCAGGGGCATGGACAGTGCTGCTGTTGCTCTTCCTGCTGCTGCTCTTCCTGCTGCCCACGCTGTGGTTCTGCAGCCCCAGTGCCAAGTACTTCTTCAAGATGGCCTTCTACAACGGCTGGATCCTCTTCCTGGCTGTGCTCGCCATCCCCGTGTGCGCCGTGCGAGGACGCAATGTCGAGAACATGAAGTGAGGGCCAAGGGGTGCTGGTGCTGAGGGAACCTAAGGGTCGGAGCAGTGTTTGGGGAGGACATGGGTGTGTAGGAGAGACTGAAAGAGTCCAGGGACAGGAAGGGGGAGGATTGCCAAGATGCGGGAAAGAGGGGAGCTGAGGCAGGCAGGCTGGCGTCAGTGGCTCCCCCTGGAACCGCCTGCCGTGACACCCATAGGATCTTGCGTCTGATGCTGCTCCACATCAAGTACCTGTACGGGATCCGCGTGGAGGTCCGCGGGGCTCACCACTTCCCTCCCTCACAGCCCTACGTCGTGGTCTCCAACCACCAGAGCTCCCTCGACCTGCTTGGTGAGACCTCCTAGAACACACCTCCCCCAGCCATGCCCTTCCTCTTGGAACCTTCCCCAGAATCTTCTCCCGGAGGTGTTCACCTGCCCCTCAGCTGGGACGTGGCTGTCTTTCCCTCAAAAGCGGGGTGGTAGGCCTTTAGTCACCCTTCCCTCTACTTGGGTCTTCCCTGGCCCTGCCCCCCTTTATTTCAGG